TGTGCCAGTCAAAAATTAGCTGTAAGAGCTTATCCCTTACCTAAATCAGTCGAGGTCTACCTTACTGATGCAGGCAAATCATTACTTCATACAACTTATCTTTGACTGGCACAGCCAATGATTGATTAGAGTAGACAATATAGTGGTTACAGAAGTTTATGTGCTTGTCTGTCCAGATACCAGTCAATATATTAGCTGACTCAGCTAATCTTTTTTTTCCGTGATTAAAATTTTCATAGAATCTATACATTAATTGATTAGCACATGCTATGCAAGCATTTTTAATATGCATACATGCCCATGGACGCATTTATAAATGTATACCAGGAGGGCGATCGGAGAGCTCCCTGAAAACAATCGGAAACGCCCTCTAAATCAACTGAAACAGGGTGAGTAGCGTAGTGAGTGGGAGGAAGTGGAGCGTTTTCAGGGAGCTCTCCGATCGCCCTCCAAGTGTCCTGTCAAGTCTAAGACATGGCATTACGTTGGGTCGCCTATGCACTGAGGGGCTGATGCGGTGTGCGTTGGCGGGGTAGAGGTGGGGGAGCTGCTGCTGCTACTCCCCCACCCCCACTACCCGACCCGCGCCTGAAGCCAGAGCATTGAGAATATAATGCAACCGAACGTACTGCCATGTCTTGGTCTGGACGCCCCGTACCATGTGCTCAGTGTAAATACTGCTCATACTGCCGTCAGTATACATGCCAAATGTGCACTTAAAAAGGTGTGTGTACATGGACGTATACCCATACATTAAAGTATGCTTGTGTATTCACTAGTCTAAGGAGTCTAAGTTTACGTGCCATGTATCCTACATTTTAGGAATACCATGTACACGTTTGTATTGCCATGGTACTTACATTGTGTTTATTAAATGGTCGGTGTTCGGTGTTGGTGGTCGCGGCTACCCCCCGTGTGGCAGGAAGGTGCGCCGGGGGTAGCGCGCCGCTGTGGCCTCCCTGACGCGCGGGGTAGGAGCGTCGCGGCCTGATCAATACAACGCCCCCGCCCCTTCCGCCCTTAGCGTGCCCCCCCCCCCTCCTCATCTCTTTGTTCAAGAGGCTTCCCAGCCGGGCTGAGCTGAGGGAGCTGGGTGTGAATGGAGGACGGGGGCCGCTTCAATGAAGCTCCGCAGTTATGGCCATAAGTTTTTTTTATTTTTTTATTATCACAGAAAACGATGTGCAATTTTAAGCAGGTCAACAAAATTCGTACATTCGAGATGGGTTCCACCAAAATAACAAACGAAACAGCGAATAGAGACACAGAATGGAAGGGAAAGCGAGGTATTATAATGTTTTGTTTTTTTTCACATGCACCCCTTCGGTGCTCTGCGGTGGCCCCGGGAGGGCGACGCCTCACCACTCCAGCTGAGCGTAGGGGCGTGCCCAGTTCTAGTTCCGTGCTGTTGCTGCCAGCAGTGTTTCGGACAACGCAACAAGCACCAGCAGCAACCTTCGCCGTCTGGTCTGACCGCTCACGGTGCGGGAGGAAAGAGAGGCGGACCTAGAGCGTTAGCGAACAGCTTGAAAGTGTGGGGAGCCAATCTAATGGGACCCTTTGGTAGAGTGAGCAGCAGAGCAATGTTCTAAAACCGCGCGCCGACTCGCTGGGAGCCAACTACTGCGAGAAGCTGACCCATCGAGCAGACTCGCTCGCAGCTGAACTGGCTCGGACTGGAAAAGACTCGCTCAAAACCGACCAGCCCGGAACTGACCGCCTGGCACCTCTAGCAGTGTAATACGAAGCGACAAAGCGGGGCATTCGGGCTGGAATCTGGGCGCACACTACTTGCACCGAGGCCCCCCGGGTCGATAGCGAAACACACCTTAAGAAACCCCTAAACTGCATGTCACGCTACAGCACTGTCGCCTAGAGGACAAAAGATATTGAAAAGAAAATACTGCATGGAAGACTTCCAAAGACTTAGAAAAAATATTCTCAAGGAACGTACCCGTACCAAAAAGGGGTGCTACAAAAACTTCTCACTGAAAATAGGTCGTAGGCTTAGAGTTGGATATCGAAATAACAACAATAAACACTTCTTACGCAGTGCTGTTTCGATCCAATAAAAATGAAAAATAAAATTTGCAGCAAATTCATAAAAATTAAGCATGACTTCAAACAGTGTTGAAGGTACATTTCACAGTATCATCCTACCAATAATATTCACGTCATCAGCTAACAATCCACGATTGCAGGCCACATACTCGTTTACAATTTAATTACTTAGAAATTCGTGATATGAACTACTAGTAATAAGAATGTATAAAAGATCCATACTACAATAGTTACGCAAATATGCCATTGATTACGGCCGTCACCCTTTGTCATGGGCACTTCTACACAACGCTACATTTTCTGCGCTAAAGTCAGCCAGATAAAGGTTCGAGTGCATAGTAGGTAATCACTCTCGATAAATAGGAAGTGCGGCGGTGTCAGCACCACACCCGCCCAGAAGTACTAGGTACGGTTCACCAATGTGCTTAAATGCGATGGAACGGTGCTGACAATAATAGTCAAAATTTGTTGAAAACAAAGAAAAAAACGACCGCTTGGATCAAAGACGCTTACTTCTCCTCAACACGTCTCTCACAGAAAATACACACTTCACAAACTTTATTCGCAGTCTCCGTGCGGACCAGTTCTACACAAGTCCCAGTCAACGGATCGGGACAGATTACTATTCAGGTTAAGTTTGCCCAGCAACGACAGGAAAGGAGGAACGTCTTTCCATACATTACCGAGGGACGAAAAGTCGGGGGCGGATCTATTTACTTGCGCGCCCGTGAGGTGGGCGGGCCCGGCATGCGTCTCGCTCAACGCCGCACTGACGTAATGGGGAAGGAAATGAAAAAGGAAAACAAGAATAAAGAAATAAGTATTCCGGTGACCTTCTTTGCCGCACGGTGACTTAGGCATTTGAGAACCTTCAAATAACATATGAAGGGGATGAAAACGGAAGTAGAGATCATTGGATTAAGAGTGAGGGCGCACTAGCGCAGGCTGTTTACAAACAGCTGTGCTGAGCAGGCGTCCTACGAATAAATACGATAATAATTAAAATAAATCATAATACAAAAGGACGACGATGTCCCCTTACTTAATGACTACGGGTGCGTCGGGGAGTCGGTCTCTGGTCGGCGGGAACATTAATCAAAAACTCTACTACTTCATATTTCTCACATGAGATGCATACAATGATGGGTAAAAACTACGAGACAGATAAAACGGTAGTTTTGTGCAATAAGACCATACAAATTATTTCTAATTTATCACAGACCGCGCAATGAGTTTGTATGCATCTATTATATCGACGGGGAATCCTCTGGAGTCGTCGAATTAAAACCCTACCGGAATAGAAACGGTTCTTTGGTAAAGAAAAGAAAATCAAACTCACATCCTAAGATTTGGATACTGATAAACGAGGTACGTGCATTGGTCAAGCTGCACGCCTATCACTCCTAAAGCTATTGGAGCCAGTCGTGTCGGCCCCTTCCCTGTTTTCCTGAGTAACTATAATGGCAACGCTCAACCCGTCGAATATGGACCCATGCTCGTGCTGTCCACTAAGATGTTTCGCGGGCAGATCCATCACCCTAACTACCTACAGTTAACTTCTTCTTGACACAATAACAACACCCTGGCTGACGTTCCTCTCGGCACAGCACGCTCCCGGCAGAGACAGCTCTCCGCTCCCCACCCCGACGCACCCGCGATACCTACACTACATTAACCAGCACCATCGCCCTAGCTAGCGTTAGTTGGCGCCAACACAAGCAGCGCCGCTTGCTCTAGTTACGTTCCGCACGCTCAGTTACTCGGCCGCCGGGGCCGCCAGCTCCACGACGGCCACGTGCGGAGACTCCTCGCCGGCCGAATCGATGTTGGCCTCCTGGTTGGCCTGATCGGCCTCGTCCGGCGCGCCGCCGTTCTCCGCGTGCGCCACCGCGTCCGCCTCGTTCCGGAAGGCCTCGGGGGCCGCGACCACGGGCTGCTCCTTGGCGAGCACCTCCAGGGTGCCGATGATGAACTCGGGTGGCGCGAGGTCGGGCAGCTTGCGGAACACTTCGGACGTGAAGACTTTCCTGAAGGCCTCCGGGGCAGGGATGGCGGGCACCGCGTCGGCCAGGAACCCGTCAGGCGTCTGAGGCAGGAGCACGACGCCGTCATTAGAAACACGACGACGCGGAGTAGGGTGAAATGAAAACCTCGGAGCAGCCAAACTTACCGCGTCGCCCTCGTGGCGGAACTCCTCTGGCGCGGGGATGTCGGGCAGCGCGTCGGCCGCCTGCTGTTCGGCGGGGTGCTCTGCGTCCGCGAAGGCGGCCGGCACGTCCACGAACTCGATGGGTACCGGCACGGCCGCGACGTCCGGGAGCACCGCCGCCACGATGCTGAGGGGCTCCACGACGGGGTCCATGAGGCTGGCGCTCAGGTCGTCGGCGCCCCGGGGCCAGTCGAGCGGGTGCAGCACGGCGCGCACCGTGCGGTAGGCGCGGCGGAAGCCCAGCTTGTGGTACAGGCTCAGCGAGGCCTCGTTCTCGGGACGGATGATGACGAAGGGGATGTAGCCCCGCTGGATCACGAGCTGCGGACAGGAGAGACCCAGTCAGAACAACACATAGCACGGGAGGAAGAGGGAGAGAGAGATGTTTTGACAGGCAATGATCGAACCTTGGTGAGAGACTGAGCGAGGTGCGTGCCGTAGCCCTTCCGTCGGAACTGGGGGCGGGTCTGCATGGAGAACATGGCTCCGTAGTAGCTCTGCACCATCCAGGCGGCCAGCTCGCCCGACGAGGAGAACACGCCGTACGAGGGCAGCGCGTGCAGCAGCTTCTCGAACACCTCCAGGCACTCCATGTCGTTGGCCGGGTACAGCCCGTGGATGTCCTTGGCGTGCTCGGAGCGCAGCTCGTGCATGGCCGCGTCCAGCAGGGGTGAGCTGCGGCACCGAGTCGAGAGTAAACACCAGAGCGCTGCGCTCGCACACACACACACACACACACACACACACACACACACACACACTGCGGGCGAGCTTGTAATTAACGCATCCAGCCCAGCGCGGGCGCTGCGCGGACCAATCTGCTGCCAGCTGCCATCATATGGCCCGGCTGCTGCTGGTTGGTATACATCGTTACATATACGTCGGAAATTAACTGAGCGCAGTTCAGAAAAGCGCGATAAAATGCGAACAGTGAGATAATTGTCAAAGTTACAAAACGAACTCTTTAAAAGATTGTAGATTTGCAACGGTAAAACGTTAAAATTAGTTAAAATCAAAAATATCAACAAATACTGTACTTTCCAGAACAACAGTGCCGTGATGCGATTTGCAATTTCCAATTATACCAGCCATTCCCAATTCTATTTTCTCGTCCGCCCGCTGTTCACCCACCTGTGCAAATCCTGGTCCTGCACCTCGCCGTCACACACGTACACGTCGCCGCACACCTTGTCCAGCGTGCCGCGGTCCTTGTAGAAGTCCTGGATGCGCCCCATGATGGCCTCGTGCGTGAAGTTGAGGAAGATGGGCCGCGACCAGTCCACGAGCACGTCCTCATCGCGCAGCAGCGACAGGCTGTCCAGCCGGTCCAGCGGGCAGAACACGCAGAACGACTCGTACAGCTGGCCATTGGGCTGTCGGCACGAGAACAATGTGTGTGAGAGGGCTAGGCCCGCAGGGTGACCCCGATGCTGGCGCAGCGGCGCAGCCGCACAGCCTGTGGTGCGGTTTTAGTATAAGGGTGCAAAAAGAAAAAACCTTGGGCAGGCCAGCAGAGAGACGGAGAGCGTGTGTGCTGTGGCAGTGAAGGCCACCAGAGACACATGGAGAGGGAGGAAGAGGGAGAGAGGAGGAGAGAGCAGAGAGGGAGAACGCATCGTCAGCGGAGATCTGTAAATGGGGTGTGGTCTGGCACGGGGACCCGTATGTCAACGCCGAGGTAGGAAGGGGGAGGCCGTGAAAAACAGGGGTGTCGCGAGCAAGGGCGCCTGGGAGGTGGGCAACACGGGAACAGCCTTGTCTAACGGGTCAGACTACCTCAGGGACGGCAAGCAGGCAAGAGCGCCTGAGAGGTAGGCAACACGGGAACAGCCCTGCCTAACGGGCCGGCCTACCTCCCGGGCGGCAAGCGGGCAAGGGTGCCTGGGAGGTAGGCAACACAGGAACAGCCCTGCCCAACGGGCCAGCCTACCTCCCGGGCGGCAAGCTTGCGGCTCTGCTCCGCTCGTGGCGAGAGAGGCTCGCGCTTTCTCCGCCCGGCAGAGTGCATTTAAAGACGGTTTGTGTATTTCCTTCCCCCCCCCCCCCTTCCACCCTCGGTTTGGCGGCCACTCTACACTTGTTCGGAGAAAGTTGTGTGACGGATAAGAAAGCGACGTATGAACGTACTCGTGCACGGGCGGAAAAGGGGGGGGAGAAGGGGGCATGGTCACTCGTGGTACGGGAGCGGGTAGAGGAGGTGAGCGGCGGAGGTTGGGGTAGAACTGCAGCACTAGTGACCTTGGCACCCCCTCCCCTATCCCCTTCCCTTTTCGTACCCCTTTCGTTCGGCGTGCCAAGCGCCTCTAGCCTTCCACCTCCCCCCTCATCAACACATACC